GGTAATTGTCCGGCCGGTACGGTAACGCAACGGTCGGTACGGTAAAGCAACGGTCGGTACGGTAAAGCAACGACCGGTACGGTAAAGCAACGACCGGTACGGTAAAGCAACGACCGGTACGGTAAACCGAGTCAAACTCACAGGAAACCGGCTGGGTGGTAATGATCAGTTCCCCAAGTGTTCTCATTCTCTATATTGGATTTTCATCAAATGCAATGATATAGGTATTGTGAAAGGTGTGTAAAAGATTATTCCAATCAACCAATAGGAGAAGATTTAGCAGACTATATGAAATGCAGCACTGATACATGCATTGTGATTAGTTGATTACTGGCAATTCATTACTTTCTAACCAATGGGATGAGATGTAACATACTACTTAACACTGACAGAAGACACATGATACACTCATTGTGATTGGATTAACTTCACTATTAAATCTTTTTTTTTTATATCAAAAAACAAATCAATCATATTTTTTTTATAGACTACACTTTCAAATTACACAAAATACATTAATTTTAATATCATAAATATTGATTCATGAATTCTGGGGATGTGGTCCTCCAAACCAATATGATGAGGCACTTCCGCAGAGATTGTTTGAGGTGCAACAAAAGTTACCCATTTCTTAGGGCACCAATGATACAACATACATTGTTAGACCTTATTATGAAATTTGGTAATTTATGAAATTCATATTTTATAAACAAAATGCATATTAAAACAGGAAATAGTAGTCACCAAGCTGACCCAAATTCATCATTAGGATTCTGTTGTGACTACAAAATCAGGTCTGTTAGAAATTAAGGCACACAATGTGATTATATTTTCTGAATAAAACGTTTCAGCTTGTCATTTGTTATAATGTATATATGTCATATCTACAGTAAGGCCTAAAATACTGGTAAGATGATTCATAATATAGGTGTGACAGCACATACTAACATTTTTAATTTTTCCTGCAATATTTTATTAATTTTTTCTATAATTTTTCTGTTGATTTTAAACTAGATGCACATAAATTCTGATTGGAACTGATTTAAATATTTTAAATTTTTGACTGCGGAAAAAAATTACACGCTTTTTAGTACAGAGTGTTATTTATGCTTTGTATTTCGCATCTATTGAGCCAACTGATATCAAACTAAATATCAGAGGACGATATAAAAACCATAAAAAATTGCACTTCTTTTTTCATTCATTCTTCAATATTTCTAGAAATGAACCCTAATTTTTGAGCCAACTGACAAAATTTTAAGTTAATTTTCAGTTTTTACTAAAATTTATTTTTAATTTTTGTTCCAATCTTCTGAAGGAAATTGCAGACTATAGACAGGACTATTTTGTATCAATAAAAAAGATGCATAATAACGGATGTAATTATAAAATATAAAGCAAATCTCCATTTTTGATCAGTGTTTCAATTCATGAATTATTTTGGTAAGATAAATTAAGTCAACAACCTTTTAGTCTGACCTAGATAAAGCATTGCAGCTGCCAAAG